GGAATCGGATTTCTTTTTCCCCAAAACACATTTAGGTAAATTAACTTTAAGTCCCTAGTTCTCCATTGTTCAAACATCTTTTCTAAATCGGTTTTGTGTGTGGTTTCATTTTCTGATGCTATGAGTCCATCATCGAGGTAAGCATAACGGCAATCCAAACCTTGTAAAACTTGATCAATAAATCTTTGAAAAGTTTGAGCTGGGTTTTTTAACCCAAATGTCATGTTTGCGTATTCATATAATCCAGTGGGAGTAATTACCACTGTCTTTTCTATATCAGATTGCTGTATTGGAATTTGATGATAAGCCTTGACCAGATTTATTTTGCTGAAAATATTTTTTTTTGGTTAAACATTGAGAAAAGTCATGTATATGTGGTAAAGGGTAACTATCAGGCAAGGTAATGGAATTTAATTTCCTGAAATCACCACAAATTCTCCGATCACCATTTTGTTTTTTTTGACAAGATGTATAGGACTAGCATAAGGACTTTCCAAAGGCCGAATGATTCCTTGTTCCATTAAGGATTTGAATTCCTTTTTTTAAAGCTTCCAATTTTTCATGTGATAGTCGTCTGACTTTCGAATAGACAGGAGGGCCTTTAGTTTCGATACAGTGTTGTACATTATGAAGAATTGAGCTTGCACTTATAGTGGGATAAATAATTCCTGAAATTTGCTTAAAATTTCACTATAAGGAGCATTGTCACAAATGAGAGTTAATCCCAAAGAAAGTCATAGGGCCCTGTATACTTTAGAAGTCAAATTGGTGAAGTTATCGATCAAATATCGATTTTTAATATCCAACAAAATTCCAAATTTATTAAAAAAATCTGCCCCAATGATAGGTTGGGATAGATCAGCAATAATGAAATATCAGGGAAATCGTCTTCTAAATATCAGTTTGAGGGTTTTTGTGCCATAACTGCATATTTTTGAACCATTGACAGCAAGCATATAAAGTCATCTTACATTTTGTAAATTTTTTAGGAATGCAACTAACTGCAGCGCCGCTATCAATCAAAAATCGAAAACCGGTACTTTTATCCAAAATGAATAAGTGGCAGTGCGCTTGACTACCATCTGTTGCCGCTAATACGGTGGCGTCAGGAAGTTTTCCTGCCATTCGCACGGGGAAATTCTTTTTTTTAGCTTTGTGAGCAAAATGGCTATGATATCAGCACAAATCGTGAGTTTCCAATTTAACATAATGACTTATTGATTTGCTAGAATTTCTGCTTTCGCTACCTTGCCGAAATTTACTACGGGATGTGCGCTCTACTGTTGCTTTCAATGCCATGATTTCATCTTTTAAGGTTTGAAGAGAAAGTGCATGACAACTTACAACCGCTTTGTCAGGTGGGTAACCAGATATCTTATTAACTTATCAGTTATTTTAGCAAACCATCTAATGTATTGCTGCATACTGATAATATTTTTTGAATTGAAATTGGAAGTCTTTGAAGCCAAATTGATTTTAATACTTCCTTGCTTACGTTATCGGCTGATAAATTGCGCATTTCAAATAAAAGTTGCGACGGTCTTTTATCTCCCAACTGTAATTCATGTAAAAGTATATATACAGTCAAAAGTCGTTAATTCGGACACCCATAATCCGGAATGATCTATAATCGGGACCTCAAAGCTACAAACTTTCTGCGCATGCGTCGCGTTGACGCATGCACGTTTAATGTATAATGGACGGTATAAGTTAAGCTAAAATTATCTAGTTCAGTTAGTTAATGTTGCAGATTACGTTGTTCCTTAATCTTCGAATTGGATCCGGCTTATTATTTTTTGCAGACTGTTAGAGCAATTTTATAAAAGTAAGCTTGAACTTTCGATTGTGTCAAATAGAATTTTCGATATATATTTACTAATATGTAAGGGATCTACAAAGCGAAAGTATGTTTCGAAGTTCATTAAACAAAAAGTGGAATTGCTGCAAAAAATGGATAAAGGAATATCCTTCGTTTCTCTAACCATTCCGAAATCTGTTTATCAATTTCACACTGCTCTGCGGCGGGTGGGGAAACGCCGCGGCGCGCAATGAATTGGAAGTTGATCTGTCAGCACTATCCTTATCTTCAGGGCAGATGTTTTTATTTTATTTGGCTTATAATTTCCTTACTAAATGTAGCATTTCATCATCGATGTACTCCATCTTTGATATGATTTAAATCAAATTCCTCGTCATTATAATTCGCTTCCGGTAGTGTAGGAAGTGACACAGAGGTTATTGAAAACCAAAAAATTTTGATTGACAAATTAGTTGGTATTCTTGACACAGCAATTATAGTACTTGAACAGCGGAACTTTGTAACTAAAGAAGAAATTATGCCTGTTTATAGAATTAAAGAGAAAGTATTATCACATAAAACAAAGCAACTTAAACAACTTACATTGAAAAAAATGTTTAATAAAGTAAACAAATAAATATTAAGCTTTTTTTTTTTTTTTTTTTTTTTTTTTTTGTAAATTTTGATACCTTTTAGATCATAATTGTTCTTTATTTCATAAATTGCGGTTTCATATTTTTAATTTTATAATTTCTGCATGCCATCTTACCAGATTTAAACTGATGATTTATAATTCGTAAAAATTGAAAATCCGGAATCGCCGAAGTCCTGACGAGTCTGGATTAACGACTTTTGACTGTATATGCATTTTAGAGTTCTTTGATTGAGAAAACTGTTCTAAAATTCTTGCTTTCAGTTGATTATACATGTTAGTTGTCGTAGGATTACGCACACATGCCAGAAATTTTGAAGCTATAACTGAGTGAAATTTCGTTTGATTTGATGTCAAACCAGATAAATTAAAATTTGATTTTAATTGCATGAACCATAATTCTGGGTTATTTTCCTAAAATGAAGGTGCACGAAAGCAATATGAGAGAGTTCGATAGTTTGAGATTTGCTGTTATGTGGCATTTAATTTTCAAAAAACTTTAACTTGCTGAACAGAATTAAATATAACATAACACACAAAAGTTGAGCAATTAAAAATTGTAAGATAAATTACTGGTCTTGCTTTTTAAGAACTGGTGATCATCAAAGTTGTTGTATTGTTTCTATTTTACCATTGGTCATGATTCTAACATGTCTTCAAATATCCGGGTCAACCAATTTAGGAGGTAGAAATAAGTATTCAAAATATGACTCCATTAGTATTTAAATATTTATTTATTTAGTTAGTTAATTACCAGTTATGAATATCTAAGTACATGAAAGAAACTTATGCCAATACAAACTCAAAAGTATAATAATTGTCGTTCCAAAGTTTATGAGCTTATTATTGTTACTATACAATGAATCTAATTTTTGCCACACAATACAAAGTCTGAAATCCGGACTCGTCGGAACTTGGGCAATTCCGGATTTGGGATTTTTCCAGATATTAGATCATCAGTTTAAATCTAGTAAGATGGCATGTAGAAATTATAAAATTAAAAATATGAAATCTCTATTTATGAAAAAATGAAGTATTTATGATGTAAAGGGTATCAAAATTTACAAAAAAAAAGCTTAATTTTTATTTGTTTAACGTATTAAAATTTCTTTCAATGTAAGTTGTTTTAAGTTGCTTCGTTTTTTTTTTTTTTTTTTTTTTTTTTTTTTTTTTTTGTGCTAATACTTTTTCTTTAATTCTGTAGACAGACATAATCTCTTGTTTAGTTACATTATTGAAGTCTTCTAACTGCTGTTTCGAGAATTCCGACTAACTTGTCAGTCGAAATTTTCTCGTTTTCAGTAACTTCTCTGTCACTTTCTTCACTTTCAGTAGCGGTATTTCTGGATTTAGAACCATACTACAGATTTCATCATTCATGAGAAACATTGTCATCACAATGAAAAACTTTTTTATATCATCTCATTTATTACCGCTTCTCCAAATTTCTTTACAAAATCCGTTAATTGGAAAATTTCGCCTTTGTTTTGCGATATCCGAAAACCTTTAAAATTAGCGGCTATCATCGTCAAATTTAGCTATCCTTCACTATACATACTTGGCTATGCATCATGAACTTGACAACTAACGACAAGTTGTTCTGTTGAATTTTATCACGCTTCTATCGCGCACTGAGACAATTAAGCCTGAATTGTATTAGTTATTTATTATACTTTTGTCTATTTCTTGCACATGCTTAAGGCATCAGAGTTCTGAATAAATAAATTCCCACATATACTTAAGCCTTGAGGGCTGGTGCTAGATATCTTCCCTCCTGATGCGGTCTCTGTGGGTCCTAAATTCTGCGACTCGGCGCGCCCATACTAGGCTCGGCATTGGTTCTGGATTTATGTGAAAAACAAATGAATTATTCAAATAGCCCTAAATGTAATCTTTGGGTCCATGAGTATCAACCATCATCCCAACCACCAAAATCTATTTTTAGCATATGAAAAGAACTTTTTGGTAAATTTTTCCTTGTCAACATTTTTTAGCACATTTAACTTAAATCTAATTATCATCAAGCATAATGTCAACATAAAAGGTTACCATACTTCTTTATTGTTCAATTACTAACATAAGAAAATCGTTTAGGCATCGCTACATGAGTCATTATTGAAGTTGTCATGTTTTGATAACATGTGGTGATGAAAGGAAAGTATAATAAATAATGATTCCCCAGGTTGGCGTCAGATCAACGATATGTCTATGTGGAATGTTTCGGTTTGAGATGAGTGCCAAGCAGATACGCAGCAAAGGAGCCAAATTATTGATTGTACAAATTTATGCTAAAATGATTGTTTCTTCAATGACAAGGTATTAAATTTAGTGTTGAAGTAAAATTAAGAATCTGAACTCTCCAGATGTTTTATTATTTTGTGAAGGGCGGAATAAAATGCACATGCGTAAAGCCTACGAGAAGTCCGGATTTTAGATCTTTCCGGATAATGAAACGTCAGGATTTCGAACTTTGTACTGTACATGTATTTTATTGTAATGCCAATATCATTATTATGTAATTTTAAACATTTACACTTCTGTTTTTATTAGGTAGTAAATCAAATAATTCTGGTGGTTGGGATGATGGTTACTCAGCTCCATCCAAAAGTCAGTCTTCTGGTTGGGAGGAAGATGACTGGGATAAACCAGCTGCTAATAACAATAAACAAAGTAGTTGGAATGATGACAGTGATAGAAGACAAAATACAGGTAATCAGTTTTGAATTTATATAATTTTTAATGTCTAGAAACATTTATTTCCAGTTTTTTTTAAATGGTATTTTTTTATAATTGTTACTTAGCTCCAGCTAAAACAGAGTCTTCTGGCTGGGAGGAAGATGACTGGGATAAGCCAGCTGTTAATAACAATAAGCAAAGCAGTTGGAATGGTGATAGCGATAGAAGACAAGGCAGGTGTTTTTAGTTTTGTGTATAATACATATTGACCAATTGAAAGCTTACCATATTGTTGGAAAATGATGCTGTGTCAAATTCATTTGCATTATATTGATAGAAAAAAGCCCGGATCACTTTGTTCTTGATACCACACAGTAATTTAGAGAATAACATTCCAGTTCACTAAAAGCATGCTAAAATTTACTGCTCTCTATATGACTGTTGTAATAATTCACAACTTGATACATGAAATGCGCTTAGTCCCTACTGAAAAAATGATTGAGAAAGTTTTTGTTGTTTTGACTTGATTTAATACATTCATGCCAAATTGGTATCGCACTTTATGATCGTATGGAAATATTTTTTGCACTATATGAATTTTTTATGCACAAAGCTTTAATTTCTTAAGCAGAGTGTTATAAATTCTTGATTTAGAATGCACAAGTCGCTGTCTTCTTCATGATGTAACATGTTGGCCATTTCTCTAAACTATGTTTAATTGAACTCGTTGAATGATTGATTAGAAGCATATTCTTCTTAGTGTTTTTTTTTTTTTTAATGATAGACTTATTCCACAAGCAAAAACATAATCTTGCTGTGTAACATAACCTTCTACTATGCAGGTGCTATGACTACTGATTGCAGGTGTCTCATGTGATTCTCATTATGCCACATATGATATCATCTATCAGTTTGTGGGCATATTAGTTTTGTAAACTTTACATGTGTTAATACTTGATAGAAAATTAGCCAATCCTCATATTTTTAATATAATTTAAAAAAGGTGTCCAATAATTTTCAATTAATATTAAATCTTCAATTATTGTATATGCAAGTTTTTAAATACACTTACTGTTGCTGGGTTGCGTTTTTTGCGTTAGTTGTTCAGTAACTACTGATTGACTGAGGTCAAGCGTAAGCTGCTTTTAGCATTAGTGAAAAAACAAAAATGAAACAAGTCGGAGAAACAACGTGTGGGTTGTATAAAACTGGAGAAAACTTGCGTCGAAACATTACAGTTGCTTAGCCAAGGTTTAGGGTTTTGCATCCGCTAATCCTAACTTCAGGGGGGGGGGAAGTTTACACCCTAATGTCATTTTTGGTACTATTTTAGCTTATTACTTAAGCTATCGTATATGTTAAAATCAGCATTTAGTGATCTTTTTCCTTTACATGAAAATATATTTAAAAAATTGCTTACTTGGAGAAATAATTTTCAGAAGCACTGTTCAAATTATTCTGAAGTTTTAATTAATAAAATACGTTAAACTTTTAAACTAATAAAAAACCCAAGAAGGACTATTGACAATAAGTAACAAAATCTTCCCATGAATTGGAAGGCAGACATTCAGTGGGCTCGGTCTCTGACAAAATGTCCATGCGAGAATCACTAGAAATATCGCTGTCTAACTCTTTAGAAAATAAATCATTACTCTCATTCATGTAACTCATTTGCCATGCAAGTATATCCTTTGTCTGAAAAAGAACACTTCCTTGCCATTATAAACTGAAGTCAAGGTTTTCTGAAATAAAAAAGGAAGTACACGAAATACAAGGGATAAAAGCAATGCAAAGCATAATAGGGTACTTTTCCGTTTCGCCGGCGCAAATCTCGCCAAGCAGACTTTATTGGCGACAACATACAGTATACACATAAAAAATATTAAAAAAATGTTAGTTTTAAGAATTCTTTTTTTTGAAGGCATAAACATTTTAATATCGCTTAAAATTTTATAAAAAGCCAATAAATAAAGATAATAAATTTGTAAAAAAACCATTAATTTAAGAATTTACTATGCTTTCATGGTTCACCATCCTGATTCGCCGGTTCATATCACGTGACCCCAAGCGATCTCATCTCACGTAAACTACTCTACAAAATTCTAATGCTCTCAGTAATTATCTACATTAATTTCAAGTTAAATCTTAATTTGGAATACAAGTTTATATGCAAGACTATTTCAATTCGTACGAATAGCTTACTCAGAAATTATGTAAAACTGCAGTGCTTTACTTCGCTAATGCATTCTCATTAGAATTGAATTTAACCCTTGACTTTACCTTTTCTATATTTTCGGCTTCAGGTAAGCACTGTGATTGCATTCTAATTGACTTAATTACCAAAAATGGCCTTAGACATAAAGCTGAACTATCTGATAAAAATTCTATGCAATTATATGCCAGTATTGAAAAAAACAATCAATCTGATAAGAAAAAGCTGCGACTTGTTTTGAAAATGAGGCGTAAAAGGTTACCAGCGAGAATATTCCGTTTGGCATCGGTTGTACCATTATTGGCAACTTTATCGCTTGCGCCGGCAAAACGGAAAAGTACCCATAATAGAGCTGCACATAGTAACACTTAAGAAACCTTACTTAGTAGGGAAATAAAAATAATAATAAAAAGAGGGATTTAAAGGGGTATCAGAAACATAAGTGTTTATATCACATGGCGAGTTAAAGAGCCAAGCTCTGTTTGTTTACATTAGAGCTTCCCAACAGCTGACATCAACATTACGTGGAAAGTGATTGAATTGAAGGCCAGGATCCAAAAACTGTTATTCAGTTCAAAAGTAATAGACACAAGGACCTCTCTTTGAAACGTTTCAGGACATTGGCACAAATATGTGATGGTCTGGGGGAAGGTGAAGGAGAAAACATCCTGGCATGCCAGTTGGGAAATAAACAAATGCATTTCTTGCTGGCACGTATGCATGACAGTCGTATGAAAGTGTTAATGAAAGCAAAAATCTACCACTGTTCTTAGCATTTGTACAAAAACTGATTTAAGTATTATTTTTTTAATTAAAGCATACTAAGAATAAAAATCTGTTTCACGTGTAATGCAAGTAAAATGTGTATTTTTGTACTATATGCCTTTAAGAATTAGCAATTGAACTTTCTGATATTAATTTTAGTAACTGTTTAAAGTTAATACATTGTTAAAAAGTATATTTTCTTTGCATACACTTTTATCATTTAAAAAAATATTGTGAATTTCTTTAGCATTGTAGGTCGGACAGTATGTAATCAGTTATCTAAAATATTTAGCAAACAGTGTAATAATAGGCTAAATTTTAAAACTTTCAAAGGTTATACAAGTGTTTGCAGCAATTTTTTTTACAATTCTTATACATCTGTAATTTTTTTTTATTTGTATTTTATACTGATACTTTCTTATAAATTTTTTTTAGGCAGTAGCAGGAATTTCAGAAATAATGATCATGATGATCGTGTGACACGAGATTATGGTGATAGAGATGGTGGAGGAAGAAAATGTTTCAATTGCAATGAAACTGGTCATATGTCAAGAGATTGCCCAAATAAGGACAGTCGGGGTGGAGGTGACAGCCGTGGTTCTGATAGGTCATGTTATAAATGCAACCAAAAAGGCCATATTTCTAGAGACTGTCCTAATGAAGGTAGTGGTGGTGGTGGAGGTTCTGATCGATCATGTTATAAATGCAACCAAAAAGGCCATATTTCTAGAGACTGTCCTAATGAAGGTAGTGGTGGTGGAGGTTCTGATCGATCATGTTATAAATGTAATCAAAAAGGCCATATTTCTAGAGACTGTCCTAATCAAGATAGTGGTGATTATAATTCTAACAGTGATCGTGGTAACAGAGGATCTGGCTGCTACAAATGTCATGAAGATGGCCATATGGCTAGAGACTGTCCAAATTCAAACAGTGATCGTAGCAACACTAGAAGTTCTGGTTGTTACAAATGTCATGAAGAAGGTCATATTGCCAAAGACTGTCCAAACTCTGATGGTGATCGTAATACCACCAGAGGTTCCGGATGTTTTAAATGTAAAGAAGAAGGTCATATGGCTAAAGATTGTCCAAATAATCTTGGGGAAGATGGTATGTAAACAGATACAGTATTTTAAGTTCTGCTTTTTTAGTAAAATTTTAATGTTGATTATAATTTTTCATATCAGGTAGATATTTAATTTCAAAATTTAAATTTTATTTAAATCAAGTATTTATAATTTTTTAGGTAAACCCAGACCACCTCCTTATGTACCTCCTGAACCTTCAGAGGATGAAGATATATTCCAAGGAGTTCCTACTGGAATAAATTTCTCAAAGTATGATGAGGTACATGTAGATGTATCAGGAACAAATGTTCCTCGACCAATAGACTCTTTCCAATCGTCTGGTCTTTGTCAGCACCTTTTACAAAATATTTCTAAGTGCAATTATACAAAGCCAACTCCAGTTCAGAAGTATGCAATTCCCATAATCCTGCAGAAACGAGATTTGATGGCATGTGCACAAACTGGTTCTGGAAAAACGGTAAATAATCTTCTAATAGGAAGTACAGTGTTCTCTTGACTATCTGGGTGCAGATTGCTCACACAGGCTAAAAAATGAACACTCACAAATTTGAGCAGGCTCTTAACTGCTGAATTGCATCTTTAACAGTTACATTGCAGAATTTGTTTTGCCTATTCATTTTTTGAGAAATAGACCTATATAATATGAATGAAAACTGATAGTTTGGATTATCTGAGAGCTGCTTTCTTGTTATTAGCCCGGATGATCAAGAGTACATTATATAATTAAAAATAAGTGCTGGATACAAAAGCTTGAAATGTTTCAAAGTAATCGTGTAAATAATTTTTATATTTCATTTTAAAAATGCATGGTCTGTAGTCTTGTTTTGCAACTAAAGTGTGATATTGATAAAGTTCTTTTTTTAAACCTCTGATGTCAAATGATTTTTCTGGCATATCATTTGATTCTTGCGTCAAAACGTATAATGCGGGCTGGATAAATTTGAGCTTGTATAAACATTTTCAGTTTATAGGTTTAATGAGATATAGGAAACTCATGAGAAGCTATAGTGTATGTATTTAAGCTTTATTGTGTACTGTAATAATGTATAATTAATGGAAGAATTTTCTTCATTCAGTATAACTAAGTGAGTTGAGGAAAAAGGAAGATACTTGAATGTTACTGAAACCACCTTGGCAAAGTTTTGCAGTTATTTACATTCATATATTATTTCATTCACATTTTATATTTCAATTAGATATTTATCCCAAAAATGGATTAAAAAACTTAGGTTTTTTCCGGGGGGCGGGATGAAAATAAATTCAATGCAATTTTCCTCTTTAGTAATTATACTGCAAACTACTTTATTCTTGCAAAAATGTTCTAGTATAGTTTCTTCCTCCGCAGGTAAATCTCTCAAGTGCCTGTTATAAAACGGAATTTTTAGGAAAAAATATGATTTTTTTATAAAACCAGGGTTGCCACGCTACCTGGAGAACCGGGAAAAGTCAGGGAATTCGAAAATTGACCAAAATATTCAGGGAAAAGTCAGGGAATTTAAGTATTTTTGTCAAAATCTGGAAAAGTCAGGGAAGTTCATACAACGATCCCGCCAAAAAAAGCGATTTTTGCGCCGACGTCGGAAGAGATAACTTTTTTGGCGAATTATGTATCACGTGAGTGTCATTCGGGTAGCTGGCATAGAGCCAATTTTCGCAGCTCCAATTTGATTGTCTTTTAGAAAGGCAAAGCAACTTTCCCGCAACTTTTGGTTTCCAGTATTCTCGAGAATCGCATGTGCAGTGCATGAACTAAAGAAAGTACCTGTTCTCGTATAAAACAAAATGGGTTTAATTCTAGTATACGGTACCATGGAGGTTAGAATCAAAGAATATGTATTGTAAAGAAGGAAAACCTCTCTGCAACAGACGTGGCTCCGTTCCATCATAGAAGGAAACAGCTGTGCATGTCTGATATATCTGTTGCCAAAGCTCGAAACCAGTGTCGAAGTTCGAAGGTCACGTTATCAAGAGTTCATAAAATGAATATCGTTTAAAATTTCTTTAACGACTTGCGCTAAAAAGACGTGCCACGCACGTCGAGATGCTTTTGTGTCAAACCGTGAGCAATGTGAATACCACGTCGATAAGCATTTATCGCAAAAAAAAAATGAAAATAACGTGGTGCACACGTCGCCTAACAACGAGATTGTTCATTTCTCGAGTTACAGCTCTGGATTGCACTCGCAGAGATGCGGAGCGGCGTAAATGAGACACTTTACACCGCTTGTTATATTGTAGCGCAAGGCACCGCAACTGTGAAGTTTAGTCTTAGCGCAAGTGGTTAAACTCTAAAGGAAAAGAAAATATTTTTTGGCGCAAGTAAATTAATTCATGGATTAGTTATTTTCAGGGGGAAAAAAACTACGAAAATCCGTTTTTAAAGTTATTGCGTGGATTTTTCTCAATAATTTTAAAAACGGATTTTCGTAGTTTTCTTTTTGTCAAAGAGCGTTTCTTCTTAACACGTATTTCTCAATTTCCTGTACACATCGCGGAGAGGGAAATTGTGGCCGCCAGTTTCCGTTGCCAAATCCCTTGGCAAATTTTTCCTCCGCATTCTAACGGCGTAATAGCATTTTTACTTGTATGGAACCTTTTCTTCTTTACATAGACGTTCTTTGGTTAGAATAATCCAGTTACGGTGACATAGGATTTGGCGACATTCATGATGCGCAGTAAAACGGGTCATTTTGGTCTTGGCGACAAGTTTTCAAAATCATGCCCAAAGCCCGTTAACCGTATACTAGAATTTTACCCGCAAAATCTTTTTAAAACCTTTTTTTTTTTTTTAATAAATACCTTTGCCATTTTGCAGTAAAAAATAAAAATAGTAATCAGTCATCTTAGGCTAAGCCATTGTAATATAACTATATTCGTTAAAATATCGTTGTTGATTATTCTAATTCAATTTTTAAGTAATTATTTTTATGTTATTCATATAATTTAATGTTGCTTCTTCCCTCTAAATTTATTTATTATTAGTAAATAATATTTCCAAATTTCAGGAAATTTTCTCTGGCATAATCCAGAAATTAATTATAGCAGTATGATGACATACCATCACGAAATTTAATGCTCATATTTTTTCATTATGTATGCTGCGAAATAAATATAAAATACCTCAATTTATTAAAATAGATTTCTTTCTTCCGTTTAGCTGCAGAATATCTGCCAAAAAAAAGCCTTATTTTGTTCCAGATTGGGAAGATTCTAATCTCAATCTTCAGTGGAGAAAACAACAACTATTATAATTATATTTGTGTTTTCAAGTGTTAAGGTGCCTTTTAAGAACATACCTCACGCAAATTAAATTTACCTAAATCTAACCTAACTATTTAGCATTGCGTTGTGATTTATAAGGACCGGATTAGCCTCGTGTTGAACTGGTGATGATCATGAGTAATAATTAAATGAAACATACATTTGTTATCCAATGTATATATCTTAAATTTTGTTAAGTGGAAAACTAAACAAAATTATCAAACAAAGTATACCAAGAATAATTAAGAATAAATGTCCTCTGGGATTTATTGAATAATTAAGTGAATTTGCTACACAATACAAGTAATACCATAATTAATTTACCTCTTAGCACAGCCAACGTACATTACGCGGATAGACTGGAATTTTCTTGAAACACACCTGGAAAACCTGGAAAAGTCAGGGAATTTCATTCTCCTGTTTGAGTGGCAACCCTGTAAAACCATTGGGACATCACAAAAAGAACGCTTGTGAAAATAATAGTAGTATTTATAAAAACTAAAGAATTATTATGCACATGGTTGCTGGTTTAAATATTGTCTGAAAATTTGTCAATTTTTACTAGAGTGGTTGTGTTAATATGTAAATACCAAAAACATGTATCATCTTGTGAGAAGAAATACAAAATATGTCAATAGTTGTAAGTTTAAGAAGTTAACCATGCAGCATTTGTTTTATTATTGCTGTATTTTTTTAAAATTGATTTTTACCTTAGCTTATCTACAGAATTTTTAGAGTATTTACTTAAATCTGAGTAGCAGCTTTTTTTCAACCCTTGATAAAATTTTATCAGAGTAAAGAAATGAAAAGGTCATTAACAGCTCTTGTGAATTCATATTGTAAATTAAGGATAATTCTATTAATTAATGATAATTATTTAAATATAAAATGATTCATAATAATTAATGGAAGAATTTATTGCCCTTTATGGAGAGTTCAGACTAATAGATCTTTGCATGGGTGGGTGCGAGTCGAAATCTGACTAGCCTTCTGAAAACTTACTGGCAGATAAAAGGGACATATGTAATCAGAAGTCTGTATGAGAGCTGGAAGGAGTTGCCATGTTAAAAGGGCCGGTAACACTGAATTCTTAGATGTCTGTCTTAAGAAAATAAGTATCTAAATGAAAGTGCAACTCACATCATATAGCGTCATTCCCAGTGTTCTGTTTGTTCATCATCTTTTCAACTAAACAAATTTCAATCTTTGAGAATGGGTTTGTTTGTATCTGTCAAAGTTTGTAAGTGAAGAGCATTATTTTAAAATTTTTGAAGTTTATTATAATATATATATATATATACAGTTAAATCAAATACGCATTCATGTTTATAAGTTTAAAGCCACCGAGAAAACATAAGAAATTACAAAAGATTAAATTTTCGTTTTGGAAATGATCAGTAGCTATAATACAGGGTGTGAGTCAGAAGTTTCAAGACTGGTTAATTTCTGAGTGGGAGAGCATGCGCGGACCGGTTCCGCCGGGTGAGGGAAGTAGTGGGAGTCTCGGGGAATGAACTCACGCTGCGGGAGTTGCCTTCAAAACCCTGGAGAGTGAGCATTGCTTGCAGCGTAAGTGTGTGTCATTGACCTCGGTCAAAAAGTGGGAGAGGCGAAAATGGAGCAGCACTTGAGCAATGTTATGCAATTAAGTTTTGCTTGAGACTGAACAAACCACCACGAAGACTCTCGGTATGATTCAAGAGGCTAGAGTGCTCTACTGCGTATGCCCGGCGATCAAGGGCGATTGCATTCTACACCACAGCAACGTACCCGCTCACATGTCGCCACCCAAGTTTTGGTCAAGTGCAACATGACAACACTCCCGCAGCCACCCTACAGCCCCGACTTGGCTCCAAGTGACTTTTTTCCTCTTCTCCCAAATCAAGACAGGTCTAAAAGAAAAGCGATTCGACTCCTTCGATGAAAGCCCTTTACAGCATGATGCCCGTGGCCTTCCAGAAGGGCTACAAACAGTGGAAGATGTACTGGCAGCACTGTGGTGATGCTGAGGGATTTTAGTACGCTGTACTTAAATGCCCAATAAATTTCTACTTCTGAGATGTCTTGAAACTTGAATCGCAGCCTGTATATTGAAAATACACACTTAGACAAAGAAAACAACGTACCACAACACACCGAGAAGATATAAAGGAAGTTGGACACAAATTGATATGCATACAGGTTTTGACGGAAAATGCAAAATTTTACATTTTGGCTGCCATCGAATGAACGGTTGTCACTACAGTGCATCTGATCTGCACAATTGGGCAGGATATTTAAGAGGAGAAATTATGATTCCAGGTCATAAATTCTTTAGGAATTTCATTCCGTGTAATCTGGTAGACAGTAATAATGCCTCACATACAGGTGCGTGAACTATATGCACAGATGCAGAATTTGAGAGAGGTGGTGTAGTTGGGCTCAAAGAAGCCGGTTGGTCTTATTGGTGAATAGCTTGACATTTGAGCAGGAGGGGTGCCACTATTAGACGATGTTGGCAGGAATGGGTGAACCATGGCTGCACACAGCCTCAAGAAGGAAGCGGTAGGCCTAGAGAAACGACAGAAAGTGAAGACAGAGCGATCATCTCAGCGTCACTCACAGCTCCAGATGCATCATTATCATCGATTGTATGTGCAGTTAGTGCTTCAGTGACTGCAAGGGCCATTCATAGATGGCTCACAGAAAGGGGGCTGAGGTTACGGCGTCCCTTGCGCCAACTACCATTCACCTCTGTACAAGGTCAAGCCCGTTTGCAGTGGTATCATGCTCATTCTCACTGGAATGCCACTGATTGGAGTAGAACTGACTGAGCCTCGATGACCAGCAAAGGCGAGTCTGGAGACGTCTCGGACAGCGGTGTGATACCAAAGTGACTGTCTTCCGGCAGACAGGCCGACAACCAAGAGCGATGGTCTGGGGTGCTGTTTCATTTCATAGTAGGGACCCCTTTGGCTGTCATCCGTCGCAACTTTACAGCACAGCAATCCGTCGATGAAGTTCTAAGGCCCGTTGTGTTGCCCTTCATGTCACGCCAGCCTGGGCTTACATTTCAGCAAGATAATGCCCGACTTCACTCTGCACATCTTTCTACTGCTTGCCGAACATTACCTTGGCCAGCAAGGTTGACAGATCTCTCTCCTATTGAGCACGTTTGGAGCATTATGGGCAGGGCCCTCCAACCAGCTCAGGATGTTGATGATAACATCCTTAAATAACATTGTTATTTTATAACAGAACAAAGCACGGAATGTACAGAATTAACAAGAGAGGAATCACTTACCTCTGCAGTGATTCACTTTTGATGAATATCCTTATCCAAAATCTGCGATATTCGTTGAAAAGAACAAGCTGGGATATACTGGCAAACACAAACACTCCTGCGTTCTCAAAAACGAAACACTATATATTCACCCACAAAACTTAATCTCCGGCTCCTCCGGCCAGATATGTGTGGGTCTCATCCCAAATAACACACACTATAATAAATTTGCTGGTTCGGTTCTTTATTAATTCTCATAATTAATTACAATCACCCATTAACTCATAGCTATTACCAGCCCTCGCACATCGTCGATGGCAATTCTCAAAACTCGTCTGATCAGGTGCACAGGCATGAACACCATCAATATAAATAAGCTTAGATTTCTTTATAAGTAATCTTTTTTTTTATGTAGAAAGTAAGAACTCATTTGAATTAAATGGTCATTTAGTATTTATCCATTATCATACAACTCATATATTATTTAATATTTGAACTTTTGAAATGGTTAAGAGTGTATCTACTTTTGTGTTTGACACAGACATTCAATAGTTGAAGTAAATAATTTAAAATAAAATGTCATGGAATTTTTATATTGATTTTCTTTTTTTTTCCCTCCTTAGGCTGCATTTTTGCTTCCAATTTTAAACGACATGATCCCTAATCCAAATCTTCCTAATAATAATAATCTTGAACAACAAGAGCCGTGGGCAGTTATTGTTGCTCCAACTAGAGAACTTGCAGTTCAGATTGCCACTGAAGCTCGCAAGTTTGCTTATGACAGTTGTGTAAAGACAGCCGTGGTGTATGGTGGTACCTCTGTGGGCTATCAGACTAGCAGAATAAGAGGTATTCATTTACTCGTAGCAACTCCAGGACGACTTCTGGATTTCGTTGAAAAAGGAAAAGTAAGTAAATATAACATTCATGTTTGGCATTATTAACAAAATTAGTATCATTTGCCTTTTTTTTTTTTTTTTTAATTCTCTGTTAAAAACTTTTCATCATGGTTTGAATTTAACTACTTTTGAACCCAGCTTAATATCAAAAGTATTATTAGATCTAGGGTAATAGATTAACTTCTGTCTTGTGTAATATGTATATTATATGTGCAGAATACTGATTGAATAAGCAGTGTGCAACAGTAAACATTGCAGTTGCCCAAATGCTGATTGATATTTTGCTGTTTAAAAATTTTGCCGGAATTTCTCTAAAGAGCAAATACTGATTTTCCAATTTGTTTGGTAAAAATATGCTTTAGTAGCTTTATTACTCTGAGAAAAAATTTTAGAATGTTCTGATAATAATCAATGGTATGAAAAAGCTTTTAAACATTTTGATAGCCTTTTAAATCTCACATCCGTGTCAGTGTTTTGTTTCCTTTCTTAATTGCTTTATTTATTAAAAATTAGTACAGAAGAAGAATACAATTAGCTGTAATCTAACTATCAGTAAACTGTTTGCATGCATAATCTGTTTGATTTTAAATGCTGAGCGAAGCATTATTATTATTATTATTATTATTTGTTACTTGTTAACTTGCAGTGTTTTTTGCTTGGCCCAGCAAATATTCTTGTGTGTATTTATCAGTCATCTTTGTTATGCTTTGTCAAAAATAGAAATTACTGGTGATAGGCAGCATAACAGGCATTGGCATCATGAAAATGATCAAGCTCCTCACTGCAGCATTCCTGAAAATCATGCTGGAACAAATATCACTTTTAATTAAGTAAAATGCTTCTAAATTAAGTGAAATGGCAATTTATATGTGAAAACAAGCAGTTTATGTAAAAAGAGAGTTACACAACAGCTTATTATTATTCATATTGATTTGACTGGTATTTTGATTGTGTTTTATGAAGTAGAGACAGATAAAGAAAAATACTGTTTACATTTTGCAGTTTTTCTGATCAGATAAGATTTTGAATTGAGACCCCCTAAAAAAAAAACTTTTTGTGTAGATATAAATTGTTGAGAATAGCAGTTATGTATGATTTTGATCGCAATTTACAAATAGTACCTGCTGGAAAAACATTTAATCGATCTGCTGATGTTGAAAATATAAAAAATAAGTAAAAGATGCCAGTAGTTTGTTGGTTGCTGATTAATATATGAGTATTTGTATCACTTCTTAAGTATTCAAGTATTCAAATGTATAAGAGAAAGTCACAGAATGATGCTAATTTGGTAGTGAAATAAAATTACTAAAAGCATGCAAAAAATGTTTATATTAGAATGCACAGTTTTTTTTTTTTTTCTTTTTGAAAATGCCCTCAGGTGTTCATTCTTGAATACAAGTGTAGCAATCCCAAGGTAACCTAACTGTTTGAGGGATAAACCTCTTGGCGAGATGGATGTCATGATCTTGGAACCCTAATAATCTTTCCTCCTTTCCAACTCTTATCTGTTCCTTCTCCATTTTTTTCCTCACTAGTGGTTTGTTTTCAAAGGTTGGTGCTCAAAGTAAGATGCTGTTACATCTCTTTTTGTCTAGCCTTTCATGGAGAGAAAACTGCTTATGTGTTTGCCATGCCTTGTAACCCGTAAGGCTGGAAATGGAAAGGAGGGTTCAGGTAATTGAGGACTGAGGTACTGTCCCCAACAGATCGGAATGGCAGGCATTTGGCTGTCCCTGCTAGTATCAGTCAGCATGTTACTAGTCCTTAGTGTCAGTGGCTTGGCAATAAGCTTTTGGGAGTTCCAGCTTTTGGGAAAGCAGACTAGGAGGCTTCAGATGGTGTACAGACCTGGTTAGCTCTGGCATCATTGTCTGCTTCCCCTTGTTGGTCTCCATTGTGGGTGAGAATCTTTTCTCAAGTATGGCTCTTTTAAATACCTAAAAATCAAATACTGATATTGACATTGTAAGGAAAAATCACGGATAGATACAAAATGCCATGGAAACATGGTATGTTTTACCTCGTAGATTTCTTGTTGTAAGCAGCTCAGATGGCAAACGTTTGAAAATATCTCCATTTTGGTTACTACAGCAGTTGAACTGAAGAATATAAAACATATCCAATCTGGTGACTTTCTTATAGAGATTTCTTATAGAGAGATCACATCAATGGGCCCAGTGACTGTATCAATGTCAAATCTTTGAACTTCTCTTGTGGCATTATCTAGGAACCAGATCATATCGGAATGCTCGGAGAGAAGAGATAGTACCATATAATTGTAATCACAATAATAAAAATCACATGACTTTGTCAATAGACGTTTTGAATTTGCTGTTTAATTATTTTCTAAATAAATTAAATTACACCTGTAATTAGAATAAGATAATTTTATTTTTGTATGAGAAAATACAAAATGGGCTCCTTTTCCTTACTTATGGCTCGCATTATCCCATGTGTATTTACATATAATTAATTTCTAAATAAACCAAATAGACTTAAATAAATTACACTTCTAATTAGAATAAAATGATTTTATTTTTATAGAATAAAATATGCTCTTTTTCTAACTTATCGCTCGTATTTCCAGATGATATCTAATTAGAATGAAAATTTTTTAAATTTATCTACTTAATATTTAAATATCTGGGAGTCTGGCCATAACAAACAGGAATTAATTTTTAAGTAAGTTGATTGTACTTCTAATATGAATATATATATTGTAATGTATGGAAGTCATTTCTTTAATCTAACCAAATGCCTTTTTTCTAATTATGTCCATGTATAAATAAGATTACAGTACAAAGTCTTTAATCCGGACTCGTCGAGACTTGGGCGATTCCGGATTAGGTTTTTTCCGGACTATAGATCATCAATTTAAATCTGGTAAGTGGCATGTAGAAATTATAAAATTAAAAATATGAAACCATAATTTATGAAATAAAGAGCAATTATGATCTAAAGGGTATCAAAATTTACAAAAAAAAGCTTGATATTTATTTGTTTACTTTATTAAACATTTCTTTAAATGTAAGTTGTTTAAGTTGCTTAGTTTTTTGTACTAATACTTGCTCTTTAATTCTATAAACAGACATAATTTCTTGTTCAGTTCCACCGTTCAAGTCCTGTAATTGCTGTGTCGAGAATACCGACTAACTTGTGGATAGAAATTTTTCATTTTCAAAAACCTCTCTGTCACTTTCTTCACTATCGGAAGCGGTACATCGAAACATGCTTTTGTTTTGTAGATCCTTTGGCAGCTTCAGAATCGGAAACTCTTTTTGACATAATCGAAAGTTCAAGCTTACTTTTTATAAAATTGCTCTAACAGTCTGCAAAAAATAATAAGCTGGATCCAATTAGAAGATTAAGGAACAATGCAATCTGCAACATTAACTGAAATAGATAATTAGATAATTTTAGCCTAGCTTATGTGCATGCGTAGAAAGTTTGTAGCTTTGAGGTCCAGATTACAGGTCATTCTGGATTATGGACGTCCGGATTAAAGACTTGGACTGTATTGATAATATGAAAAGCACTCCTGTGCTGTTTAGCTTCTGTTAGCTTGAATTCCACTTGACTCCAAGACGAACGAACTACCAGTGTGCAACAGTTTTACCCTTAGGCGGCTGAAAGACACCCTGTATCATATAAGCAGTTTTTTAAACTCTCGTAATCAAATTTATATTCAAATATAACTATTAAAATGCAATAAAATGATAACCAGACTTTGGAGTACTAATAATTTAGTATAAAATATTAAACATTATTCTGCTATTTTTCTACACAAAGCATATTTCACTGATTTTTTTATATAGAGGATTATGTGGATTAAAAGTTGGGTATATCAGTAAAAAATCTAGACCATTTGCCAAAACATGAGCAAAAGTTTCTTATTTTTAAGTAGTGGTGGTGGGGGGTTGACCCTTCTTTCCTTCCTTTCTTTCACCTTCATGGAATTGTCATAATCTACAGTAGTTTTATATGTAGATTCAAGCAGTGGTTAATGAGTTAATATTTGTATTTAAATTTGCTTACTTCTATGCATGGTAACTTACTAAGTTTAATCATTACTAAGTTTACTGAGTTTAATCACACAAATACTACCTACATTAAGAATTAATTTTGTTTCCATCATATTTAAAAGTACTTTGGTAAATAAAAGCTTCCTTCACTCTTTGGTATTTTCTCAGTATGAAAGTGTAAGAAAATTAAAAATCAGTCAAAACATGTTAAATTGAGGATATCCAATTAAATGATGTTGTATTTAATTTTATTTACTTCAATATATGGTACATTACTAAGTTTAATCACAAAAATACTACTTCGATAAATAAAAGCTCTCCTTCACTCCTCAGTATTTTCTCAGTATAAAAGTGTAAGAAAATTTTAAAATGAAATTAACTGAAGAACATGAAATTTAGAATATCCAATTAAATGCTAATATATTTTACATCAGAACTGAATTATAAATAGTTCAGTAACCTGAATCATGTATTATTAAGTGAATGAAAGTCAGTTTGGAGTTTCATCGTAATGGTGTTGCGGTTGCCTCATAATGTAAAAAACCTCCGGTTTTCTTCCAGGTTTCTCCCAAAAAATCTCCCGAATTTTGAGAGTTCAAGGTTGGCAGATATAATACAGAAATTAAATTAGCAAGTGTTATAGTATACCATTTTTATAAGTTTAATGTGAAAGGTAAAACTTGTTCCAGTATGTTTTCTTAAAATTATGTATTACTGCTATTGGAATTTAAAATTATTAGCAGTGTTATTACATACAAGAATTTTTTACCAGTGAATTTAATTATGTCGTTCTTTCCAGGTTTCATTTTCTCAAATTCGTTATTTTGTTCTTGATGAAGCTGATCGTATGCTGGATATGGGTTTTGCGCCAGCAATTCGCAAGATGGTCGAACATTCATCTATGCCAGAAAAAGGTGTGCGTCAGACTTTAATGTTTAGTGCAACATTCCCAGAAGATATTCAAAAAATGGCTGGAGATTTCCTCGATAACTACTTATTTTTAACTGTTGGCATGGTTGGTGCTGCCAATGCTGATGTCGAACAAACATTCTTCAGTGTAGGACAATATGACAAACGGCAAAAGTTGATGGACATTCTTAAAGATGTTGGTGAGTATGGACATTTACTTTTCTATGCATTGTTGAAATGTAAGAAATGTTAACTCGTAAAAAATTAGTTTTTAAAATTTGCTGATCATCATTCTTTAATTCTTTTCTTTAAGATTTTATTTTTTAAAATAATTTTTAAATACATAACTTTAATTTTTAGTATGCAGCACATTGTAATATACATTTATTGAAGGTGACTGTTCTTTTTTTAGGTACTGATAGAACTCTTGTTTTTGTGGAACAAAAAAGAACAGCGGATTTCATTGCTTCACTTTGCTCTCAAAATAACATTCCAACCACAAGCATTCATGGGTAATAATAATTTTTATTTAATCATATAAATTCAAGTAATTTTCATTTTATTCTCACAAAACTAAGAGCTATATGTAATGAATTAAAAAATATGTGAAATTTAATACAAGCAAGCAAAAAATGTTAAACTTTGATTATTGGTTTTTTTAAGATTCTACTTCAAACTGCTATTTATTGAAATTACTTTCTTGTACAGAGTAAAGGAAGTATTGAAATTGTGACAAATTTCATATATTCAGGTTTGAATGGAAATACTCAATTTAATGTTCCCAAATCAATTTGCATGATTTTTTTTTTTTTTTTTTTTTTGTGTGTGTGTGTGTGTGTGTGTGTGTGTGTGCTTGATGTCAGTATTTATGAGCAAATGAAAGGGATATCTTTCAATTGTTTGTGGGCTAATTGTTTTTGAGTATGCATCTTTCATACTCAAAAACAATTAGCCGTAGAACATTGAAATTTTCCATTTGTGACTGCTATAACATCTAGTTCTATATCTCAGTTTTTTATTGCGATTGGCAATACCAAACACACATATGTATTTGGCAATACCAAATGTAATGAACAGTTTTTAATGACGTTTGTTATGAATGCATTTTTATAGTAGAGAAAGGCAAATACCATTCAAAAGTCATTTTATGTGTACATAAGAATCAGTAAAGCTGAGGGCAGAGATGCTCAAAATCCACTATGTTATATTAAAATGAAAATGAGTTGTATAGGACAGAGGTCACGCAGCATGGCATACTAGACAAAATGCAGTTGAGGAGTCCCTGTGGAAATTGATCACACTCCTGCAGCAAGGCAGTTTGTAGCTCCAGAGTGGCTCTCTGAGGGGTATGGCGAGATGAAATTGCTCTTTCAAGAACATCCCAGACATGCTGTATAGAATTTATGTTAGAAGTTGGCCAATCTATGCAGTGAATAGCCTCACTTTCCAGATAATCGTCGAACAGCCGAGCTGTATTTAAATGAGTGCTGTCTGTTAACAAGAATCCAAGACCAACTGCACCCCTGAAAAGTTGAACATAGGCCTGCAAGATTTCCTGTGCATCTCAGTGGCAATCTGGAAGTCTTTGACACTTTCAAATGCATGGAGGGGTTGTAGGCCATCTAACATTTAGTGCCTGTGCAAACCATTACACCTCTGCCACCGTAATAATCCTTTTTCCTGATGAAATGCAGCAAAAACTGTATATAATTTAATAGGCCATACAAGGAAGTCCACATTAGATTTTTTCTTGCTATTTAATGAAAAAATAGAACTTGGAATTAATTGTGAAAAATTCTAGTGTTGAATTTTTTAAATTTCCTCGAGAGACTGGTTAATTAATGTAGAATAAATTCAAGGAAATAAGTTTAAGTGTAACAAAAAATGTTTAATTGAATGGGAAGTGATGCAGTGCCTACATCAGTGTTTGTTTTTTATGTCTGTGTATTTTTAATGAGATTTACTTTATTATGGATATTTGAAAAGTAAGAAAATTCATTGTGCAAATGATTTTGATTTGGTATAAAATAAAAGAGCAGGTTGACATTAAAAAATCGAGCCATTGATAAGACATTGCCTTCAGATTTCTGACAATTTCGAAGTGTATTTAAAAATTGCTGCATTCGCGCAGCACTATTTTCTGGAGGCTTTCCCCCCTTCTTCTTCTTCTTCTTCTTTTTTTTTTTTTAATATGGCAGTATACTCCAGAAACAGTATATGTTAATGAGAGGTGTCTAGTTCTTCACTTATTTCTGGTACTGCAGTACAGAAGTTCATAAAAAAAATTCAACATTCAAAATGCAGTGTACTATGTTGTCAATGCATGAAAGTCAGTTATCAAGTATTTTGATGGCATTATTTACTTGACATCCTCTGCCATCAACTTTGAGTCTGTTTTCTGTCACAACCATCAAAATTTCTTCTTCAAATATGAGTAGCCACTGTTGTTGAGGATCTAATACCGAGTCAGGAAGATGATCATTCTGACTGCTAGTTAGCTTATTTTAAGAAATTATTAAAGTTTTGAGGCTTTACTTTATTTAATAAAAATTAAAATTCTGAGGAATATTTCATTTAGTCAAATTAAAATTCTGAGAATTATTCAGTTGAACTAAAATTCTGTAGAACTGTTTTCTTTAGTTGAAATTTAATATTTCATTCTTTCTTTAAATGTATACAAATATAGTCATTTCCTTTTAAAATATGTAAAAGAAGTTATAGAGGGCACTGCACTGCTCTTGCATAATTTATCTAAAAGTTTCAATTTTGATAGAGAGTGTGATCAGGAGTGGCAAAAAAGAGTTCAACGTACTGGTAATGTAAATCCCATCAAATTTGTAAATGCATTGTTCTTAGATTATTATTTATAAAGTGTTTATTTGAATTCATCATGACACCAAGAACCATCAAAGGAGTTATGATAAAACTACATATATGAAATTAATTTCATTTATTCCGATATGGCATAGCATGCGTAAGCTGTGTGTCGTATGAAATTAGACTGTTGTATAATTTATTAAAAAAATATTTCATTGACTTATTCTCAGTTAGACTTATAATGTGGATTTTTGTGCTGTGCAAAATTTAAAGAAAGACTGTGAATTGGTTGTTTTAAAGTTTGAAAGATATTTAATTCTGGATTAAAGGAGGGGAAAAGAGGTCTTTTTATTATTTTCCTCCATTGGGGAGAGGGGTGGAGAGGGTTACTTTTTCTGGATTCGATGGTAAATTTACGAATTCTTCTATCATAAGCGGATATCAATCACTTAAGACGGTATGCTTTCTATATGTAAATTGTTTCTATAACATTTGAAACTTTAATAATTAAGTATTACAAGATTTATCTTTATTACCTTTCTAGAGATCGACTACAACGTGAACGAGAAGAAGCATTGCGAGATTTTAGAACTGGTAAAATGCCTGTGTTAGTAGCCACAGCTGTTGCAGCTCGAGGTCTCGATATTAAGGATGTGAAACATGTTATAAATTATGATCTTCCACAAACAATTGATGAGTATGTTCACCGAATAGGAAGAACGGGTAGAGTTGGAAATCTAGGAAAAGCCACTAGTTTTTATGATTCCAATGCTGATCAGCCATTAGCAAGATCATTGAAAAAGATCTTAATTGATGTAAGTATTTATTACTTAAATTTTTTTTTATATCTGTAAAAGATTCACTCAGGAATATTTTTGATTAAATTTTAATTTTCCTCTTTATAGAAATGTAACTTTATCAATGTGAAGCAGAAGTAAAGTGCTATGCAAAATCTGTTTACCCATATTTTCTTGAAAATATTCCCCCCCCCTAGTTTTTTTTAGCAATTGTTTCTGAAAATTTAAAAAATATTTGCATAATTTCCCCCTTCGTCTACTGTATATTGTTTTCCCCTCTTAGGGCTAGTTTATTGGTAAACTGTTGATTTGATTGGTCCTTTGATTGTTTTTATCGTGTGCAAAACTTTTTGCCTCTTATATCTGTGTCGTCATTGGTACTTTACAGTGCTGTAATGCAGTCAGTGGCTGTGTATTTCTTTGGAATTTGTTTTTTGACTAGTACTAAAATTTCTTCTTTCAAATTTCTTTTTTGTTTGCTGGTATGAAATGTTTTATTCTGTTTTACAGTGAACTACTTTAACAACAATAGTTTCATTAGTATTAATTTTGAACTTTTAGGACTACGTAAGCATATATTAAATCATTTGAAATAATTTTGACAGAATTTTTGTCTTCTTTTGATACTAAATTGCAAAAATTTTTATTATTACCAACAAGAATTTTTATTTCTGCTGTGTTCTTTTTATTGTAGGCACACAAAGAAGTACCTGATTGGCTTTCTCAAGAAGCTGATCAAGCTGTAGGTACAACTGTACAATATGGTGGCCGAGGCAATTTTGGTTCTAGAGATGTCCGTAATAACAGGGTAAGTTAGCTTTTTCCAATACAATCTTGTATTTTTTCAGTGTTAATTAGCAGACCTGAAAGGAAACATATGCCATCTATTGAGGGACTATATGTCACTGTGCTGAGTTGCTATGTGTCGAGATGTAAAGTATCTTATTATATGAATATTTGAGCGAAAAACATTTTTAGAATTAAAAGAAAGCAACATAGTTAGTTATGCTTTAAAAATACAGTAAATATGTAAAACATTTAATTATACATTGTTTGTTAGGATTCCTATTCTTTATTACGAATATTAGCAATAGCCATTTTAAGTAGTAATATTAAGTAATATAAGATTAGCTGTTAAAAATATTTCATCCATTTTCATGGATTATATAGAATTTGTGTAGGAAATAATTTTACTATTGTTTTCTCCTTTTGGCTGTATTTCTCTTTCATTCCACATAAAAAAAACAAGGAACTTAGATGTGGATGAAAAGAGTTACGTTGTAAAATTAATGTTTTCTCTTTATCAGAACTGTAACGCAGTTCTGATAAACCGAACACCGAAGTTATCACCGAAGTGATAACACCGAAGTGTGCATGCAGATAAGTGTGCATACTTATCTGTATGCACACTTTGGTCAATGAAATATAGCAATGAAAAATATGTTTTTAAAGTAGAAATAATCTGAAATTGATACTTATGTGAACCAGTAGTAAGTCTATTGTGAAATATGTACTTCATTCTGACAAAGTATATATATATTCAATATAGCTGTTGAAACAGTAGAGGAAATAAGATGCAATCTATATTTCTGTATATTTAACAGTAACTGTATGTATTACAGTATACAAACTATAACTGTATAATTAAGGTAAAGTACATAAATAAAGTACACGAGTTATTTCCTTTTTCTGTTTTAAAAATTGCAATTACTTATAATAAATTGCTTCAAACTGCAGCACATTAATAATTCCATGTCTTATGGTTCTTGCATAATGTTTATGATGCAAATTTCTTTGCATACTGAAACTCAAACAGCTTTTAACAGCCAATAGGAAAATTTCAGTGCCATAATTCGAATCCCTTTAAACTAAGTTTCCATCTTACATTCGTCACATTCCTCTAACTTCTGTGCCACCAAACTTGTTGCTTATATTTGAAAATAATTTAAAATTATATACAGTGCATGTGTAATTCTTCACAAATAAACAGCTATTACGGAAATTGGCTTAAAAAGTGTTCATCAACGAGAATGAAAAGCAATATTAAAAATCAAATATGACTGCAGTTACTTCCTTATGCTGCAGCTATGTCTTAATGTCATCTTCTTCAACATTTCTATTACATTTTAATATAAACTAATATATTATAACTATATACCTTAGTGTATGTAAATTTTTACATTTCTATTAAATATCAGTGGCTTTAAAAAATAGTCAAGAATTGTAATTTGTGTGTTTTTCATTTCAGTTTAAATTTAAAAAAAATATATATCTTAAAAAATGTGACTGCAATGAGAAACATTCCATTTTTCTCTTTTCAAATTTTATAAATGCTTCTAATTTTACAAAAATTGTGACCTTTTTGGCAAGCTCTTTCACTTTATGTGTGTCTGTTTCAGGGTCGTGACAAGCCAATAAACTCCAACGATGCATTTAATAATTATAGTAGCCAACCAACATCGTTCAGTGAACCTGTAGCTGATGAAGAAGACTGGGGTTGAAATGTTTCTGTTAGTTTTGAACTTTCTGTTTGAATTAAACGTACTGTGACCAATTGTATTATATGTAAAAAGGAAAGCAGAAATATATTTTCATTTAGCTTTTCATGTCTAAAATTGTTTTGATAATTTTAAACAAGTTTAAATGTGCCACATTGTACATATCCAAATCAAGTGATCTTTCAGTGTGTTGTATTTTTATGAAAACTAAAAAATTCACGGAAAAGTTATTTGTTGTTCAAGTTGTTTATGTACCAGAATCGTGACTAATATAAAAATGTTACCAGCATTTTATACAGCTGACGAGTTCTCTTTTGATTGTAAAGGAGAACATTTTTTAAAACATTTCATCATATTCAAAGTCTTGATCAACATGAACAAATATTTCACCCTCTACTTGTATTTTCTCACTGGATTTTACATCTTGATTTTCTTCTTCAATTTGTTTGCTTTGTGTATAAAAATCTTCGGGATCGATGTCATCCCTCTTTTTTCTTCCTAAATATACTGGTGTCTGCTTTACTCCCTATAAAAATTTAAAAGCAATTCATGTGATAAATGTTAAAAAATATTGTTAAAAATATATGTTGTAATAAAGATTGATAATAAAGCAAAGCATTTTTGATGTAGATGAAAACATCTATCATTACCTGCACTAGCAAAAATTAATTTTTAAAGAAGGCTAAAAACTTTTAAAGAATACTTAGTCCTAAATCCAAAATAAAGACACATATTTATCTTAAATATGTAAAGAATAGTCTTTTTATGCTCCTTGGAAATTTAAGATATCATAATCAACTCTTTCTTACATGTTTTGATGCTCAGTTTTCACATTCTGTTTAAAGTGTACCGTTTACATACTCACATGGAATTAAATGAAACTATGTGAATTAATGAAACTAACTTATTCTTGAATATCTTGCTCTTGAAATTCGTTTCACCTATAATGTTGATGATTTCTCTGAGAGTTAACTCACACATTGGAAATGGCATAATTTTAAATTTTGACCAATTTTAATGGTGTTATTTAGACAGGTTTGTCTAAATAATTAGACCTTTTGCTCAATTTTAAATATGTAGCAGTAATGGGAAACAATTTTGTGTGTTCCCTGAGTAAAATTTCGTGCATATGATATTCCATATAAAATTACTATATGATGAATTAATGTTGTTTCTGTTTTTATCTTTCTACTGATAGATACGCTGCATAATCTCAGTTATCTATCAGTCTGAGGCTCATTACTCTGATAAGAGAATATGGCAAGTAATAGAATTTTCTGTGATAAGGTAATAGAACAATCAATAACTAAAGAGCAAATTTCTTGTTTCTTTGGAGGGGGGGTAAACTGTGTAATCACAATTAGTCTTTCCAAGTGTTTATCATTGTGACAGATCTCCCATTGAAATCCAGTGTTTTATTTGTAGAAATTGATAAAAGCCAATTTCTTTATATATGAAAGAATATGTTTTTTGTAGTGTTACTAATAAAATTGTGTAAAATAATCATATACTGATTTACGCTTTCTCTAAGCAGACAACCCTTTTTTTAATTGTACCTTTGCTTTAGTTTTTCCAGAGCTTTAATTTCAAAACAAATATTTTTCTTTTATTAACTCATTGTTTAACCTCGGTTTCTAAATTTAAAATTTTCAATTTGATCATTTCTTTGAACGCTTAGCACAATCGGTATAAAAGACTTTCTGATGAAATTCTATTCTTTTAAAGTTGATTCTGGTGAATTTTTTCCCTGCCTAAATGGTGGCCAATTAATCAGAATTGATAGTTTTTCTTTCAATCAACTTTCTTAATCTTAAATTTACTTAAGATTAATTAAATTAAAATAACTTAAGACAGAATAGGAAAATCCTTTAGAATAATACTTATTTGTACTCTTTAATAAGGAAAACGGCAGTCAGCTAGGAAATGCGTTGAAGGGCTGCATTCAGTCTGATAAGAAAGATAATCATTGGATAGTTGAAGAATGGAATGATCATGAAGGGATATATTGAGAAAGTGACTGTTCAAAACACTGGCTGTAAAGTATAATATGTAAAACTGTAAAGTATAACATGTTGTAGGGAGGAAAAATGATTATCTGATAGAAATTTAATAGTAAAGTGCTTGCGATGCATTGTTGAGGGTCTGCTTTAAAATGCAATGTATAAAATGAGAAAAACAATATTATTTTCATATTCCTCATGCTGCTCATATAACCGATTAGATTTGTATCAATGAAAGCCATATAACTGGAAGTGACTGTGTTTGGTGCGAACACATCTTGTTTGCAGCCAGTACTATAATTTGTGAGAAAATATGAAAAGCTAAGATTCTTTAAGCTTGCTTAGAAATTTTAATTTGTATATTACAAAGCATGGGTATCTGATGAAAATTATGAAATGGGTGTTTTAAAGAGTTATAATATTTATGAGAAGAGAAGTGAAAAATAATTGATAATTAACATAAAGGTTGGTTCCATCCAGGTTGTATCTTCTCCCCCCCTTAAACATTTCTTTGGATCATCCACATTTTTAACAAAAATATAAGTTTTTGTTTTAATCTGGACTTTGAAAAATGATGCATACAATTCATATTCTCCCCCCCTTAAACTGCTATACATCTATACAAAATATCATATACTCAGCAAGAATTTTTAACTTATTTTAATATGCAGGGTCTGTTAAAGATAAACCTCTTACACTACAGGAAATGGGCAAAAATGATTATGATCAAAGAATAGATAAAACATTACCAATCAAATATTGAATACAAATGCTAATAAACTGCCCAATGTGAAAGAATTGTGCAGTAGATATTCCAGAGCCTGTACTTAAGGAATTTATAGAATAGTTAACTGCTGAATTTTTCAAAAATTATCTTAAAAATAGGTTCGTTTTACATCATGAACACATGATTGAGAAATTTTTATCTCTTAAATATATTATTTACAGCTTTTCATTTGGGAAGCATATGATGGTTATTAGCTATTTATGCCAATGGAGTCCCATTGGTTTCTAATGTTTGTTTTGTGTATGGTATATTTTGTTTATTTTCTTATATATTGTAAGCGTACAAAATGAATAGTCATTTGCACATATCTAGGAGGAAAACCATAATAGTAAAACCACCAGTATGAGAATCAAGTAAACATTTTGTAATGTAATACAATGAAGTCTCTATTATAAAGAATACTGCTTTATGAATTCATCTATTTAGAAAAGTCTTTCACATGATTCTGCCCAAAATATGAATTTCCTTGTATCAAAAACTTAATAGTGAAATACGCTCTAGGATTATGCCGGTAATGTTTGCTAGATTGCAAAATTGTTATATTAAGACAAATTACTAAGAGCTTAAGAGCCAATGGCTCATACAGAATATTGCTATCCATGAAGAGCTTGGCATAGAATAAATAGCTGTTTTTACTACCAAATTCTCAAGGAAATTATTTTGCAAAATTAATGAGGCGAACAATAGTCCAGTTTCTAGCATGAACTACTACGTCACAAATACCACATTTACAGTATAAAACGGCCTGATACTGGGTTGCACTTAAACTAAAATTATTTGTTCTAGTATACTTATACCTCCTTCCCAATATGTTTCTTTACAGTAAGCCTTGATATCACAGACTTCCAGAAAGGGTGAGACAGTAAAGTTTAAAAAGAGAAGCCAGTATATCCAGGCATGAGAAACAAAACTTGGAGAGAAGTCCAAAAGCCGAACAATGATGAGATGTTCTCCACGGCATCTGTTATGCCCAGAAGTGGTTAGTCCATTCAATATGAGCAAGCGACGACTTAAGAATTTTTGACATTGCAATCCATCCTTCTTTATTTCGCATGCCCGCCTGTGGCCGAGCAGTAAAGTCGCTGAAAACTTGGTAATTTGATCTGAGGTTCGAATCCCGCGACTGGGCTAGCTGCTTGGGCATTTTTGTGATTTTCCCCATGTGTGTACAAGCCAGTTCGCTTAGAAAGTCCTACACGAAGGCATCTATCTATCTCCTTAGATAGGTAGCCCTTGGACGTAACCATAATCACATAAACCAAGCCAAAAAAAATCTTCATCCGGCTGCTGCGTAGAAGCTCTTGAGGCCCTATTTCTCTTGATGGCTAATAACGCAGAATGTTTAATTATGTTTCCTTCTGCTCTTTCTAGCCTTGACTTCAACAACTATGAGATTACAGTCAAATCTGGTTAATTGGACCACTGGATAAACGGACCAGCCGCTTATTTGGACCAAAATTCCGTTTAATCGGACCAAAAAATGCGAGAGCGAATAAGAAACAGAAGCCACAAGTCAGATGCGTACAGCAGATGTACAGGTGGTCCGCGAGATATGGGAGGATCTGTAGCTCCGCTCCCCAGGCGAATGCTTTATCAAAGGTCAAGACTTCCTTAAAGTGCATAACAAAAGCAAAACCAGTGGGATGTGAATGCAAGCACCATTTTCTTTGACTTTTCTTAAAACAGAGCCACCACTAGCCGACAGTGAAGTTATTGGTACCACTGCGTCTTCGATTTTCGAGGAAATGAACAACAGAGTGTCCGGCTTCACCTGAAAGGAATTCCCGCCTGTCAATCATGATTAAAGTTTACACAAGAAAGCTATCATTTCACCACCCTTTTGGGATGATTTTAGTGCCAAAGCTTTGAATGGCGAGCATTTTATCTCCCTCTTGACCTCAACATCTTGACCCCGAAACACCAAGGTTTCTTTAGACCACTTTAGTCCGTGAACTGTGCGCATGTCTTGTCTCCCCTGCCAAAATGCCATGATGGGACTTGACATTAGCTGAAAAAAATTGGTTTGCTGGGTAAGATCAAGCAACAACCGTGAAACACTAGTCAGCGTGGGTTGGTGGAATTCGCACTTGATAAAACAAGAGAATGAGCTATGAGAAGAATGGGCATAATGTGAAGGACGAGGAGGAACTTCCAAAAAACGGAAGTGTTAAAGGCAAGGATCCAGACGTCGATGAAGCCCCTAATGAATGGTTTGCCATTGTTACTGGACGAGCTGTGCAAGCAAACGGCCCAATGTTAAAATGCAAAGCAGAAGAGCTCGCTGAAAAGCTGGTCCACGATGACTTTAAAACTACAGACGGTTGGTTGTCTCGATGGAATTCAGACATGATATAAAATTCAAGAAAGCACGTGGTGTGAAAGAAAATGCAGATGCTGAAGAATGGAAATCAACAAATCTGCCCTAGCTAAAATTTTTCATAAGTTACAAACATGTTGCACCCTCTGGCTCCAAAAATGTGATGGATCGAGTAACTGCCTTGTGCTGCTCAAACATGGCAGGAGCAGACAAGAGGAAGCTGTTGGTTACAGGAAAAAGCTCTAAGCCTCGCTGCTTTAAAGGACTTAGGATGGACAGAGAGCTACAATGCCAGTCTAGAAAAGTGCTGCTGCTTCTTGACAGTTGAGCAGTATATCCTCATTCAGATTACTTGAAGAACATCCAACTGGAATTTCTACCTCCCAGGACTCTCACTGTGACTTTAAGCACTTGGTCTTGGAGATGAATGTGGACATGCTCATTGAAAGTGAAAATGATGACGGACATGTGGAACTTCAACAGGTACAAAATTGCGAATAATTTTTATCCATCG